CCCCCCCCGGCTCGATAATTGTGTTGTCGATCCGAACTCGTTCTCGAACTCGAACTCGAACTGGTCCACCCCCCTCTCGCTCGATCCACGCAATCTCGCGCATCGAACTCGAACCTGAACTCGAACTCGAACTTGAACTCGAACTGGATCAGTTAGACGAACTACCTGGGGCACGGCCTGGGTAAAGTCGACGAAAAGTACAGGCTGCAGTCGTAATGACATAGATCATAGAGTAGTGGTTAATGGACTTTTGTGACTTTTGCTGAGATGTATTGCAGGGCTAAGTATGAGGATGCATATTTATGGCGGCAGACAAAGACGTTGGTATAGCAAGCCTCCGCGTATTGGTGAAGTGGGTTTCACCGAGTAGAAAGCTGTATATAGACATTGCATGACATTGCAAGCATTGCGCACACTGACATGGCACCCCCTTCCTGTCTGGGAATGAGATTAAAGGCTTTAGTGAGATCGAGAGTAAATCATCCTCATGGGACAGCGGAGGAGTGGGCTATTTCAAGGATAATTGTTGTTGCACGGTAGTGTCTTTAACGGCGCGAAAAGGCAATCCGCCTGAAATCCCATTGCGACCGCATAGGGGGCCACGCTAAATCTCCGGACCCAGTTGACCCCGGGTACTGCTGCTACTACTACGTGTCAACCGGGTCAACCGGGTCAACTGGGTCAACTGGGTTCAACCGGGTCACCTGGTCCACCACCACTAACAAAACCACCACCGCCACCACGACTACCACTACTTCCAGTACCACTACCACTACCACTACGACTACTACTACTACTACCACCACCACTACTGCTACTGCTACTGCCACTGTTAGTGCTACTGCTATGGGTCAACTGGGTTCAACTGGGCTCAACCACGTCAACTGGGTAGACCACCACTACCACTACCACTACCACTGCCACTGCCACTGCCACTGCCACTGCCACTGCCACTGCCACCACCACCACCACCACCACCACCACTACTACTACTACTACCACCACTACCACCACTACTACCAGTACCACCACTACTACCACTACTACCACCACTACTACCAGTACCACCACCACTACTACCACTACTACCACTACCACCACCTATTTCAACTTTTTCTCTAGTATTCCTTTTCAAGACAAGACACATTCACATGAAATAAGGCGTTACATGCTTAGGGTCTGGCTACCACAACTACTGTGCATGATCCCTACTAGTGCTAGCTGTTCAGCAAGGCAAGGTGAACGGTAAACACCAAACTCAACACCAGGGTCCCATGTTGAGATTGGATGGAACCCTTTCCTCTGACAGTTTGAGAACCCTCCAGATCTAAACAGGTGACCCATGCGCCGGCAACATCGCACTCACAGACAGTCTAGACAGCTTGGATGGAACGCTTCCTCTGACAAGTTGAGAATTCTCCAGATCTAAACAGGTGACCCGTGCGTGATGGTGTTGAGCTTGCTGTGGACAGTTGAAATAGTATACATATATATATATATATCTATAACAACTATGTATACCGTACATAGCTCAAGAACTCAGCATATATACATTTCTCGAGAAGAATGTCGCCGTCGATAACGTCAGAGACGGCGAGACCGGTGAGATGTGCTCTTTTTGTCGAAGGACACGGGGAAGTTGTGATCACTTCTAACTAACCATATTGATATTCTGCTCCAACAAACGATGCAAAAACCAAACTCAACACCAGACGTCCCGTGTTGACCTTGGTTGGGACCCTTTCCTCCACCAGGTCGAACGCTGACTGGACCTCAAGCGAAGAAGCAGTTCATCCAATTGACACACTGCCTCCACCCAAACCAGGTTAAAACACTGTCTCCATCAGAATGCAATGGTCCCAGTTGACCCAGTTGAGACACTGCCTCCATCCAAGCCGATGGTCCTCACAGAATGTCAACTGGGTCAACTGGTTCAAGTGGGTTCGACTGGGTCAACTAGGTCATCTGGGACACCCTGTTCAACTGGGTCAACTGGGACCACAGATTTACCGGCTCCTGTTCGAATCTTGCGATCCATGCTTCCCAGGAATTGCCCAATCCCGGTGCTGCGTGGAGACCTCCCATTCTTGTTGTAGCAGTCGATATTTTGGCAAAAGTTGAATAGGAGCAAACATATCCAAAAATATCCAAAACGTGGGACGATCAGCGGATGCCAACAAAAGACAACTTCAACAAAACATTCAAACGCACGGCTCCTTACAGGTGCTGCAACCATGCTTATACCATTGCACCCTCTAGTTTTTAACGGCTTCTATCAACAAACCTCTTAAAGGAAGCTTCTCACGGTAGCAGGTAGGAGGCCATCGCTATTAGGGGGAGGCCATTGCTTTTAGGTCGGAGGCCATCGTTATTAGGTTCCTTTTGCTTTCGATTAAACCTGCTCGATTTCCATCAGTCTTGATCACTCGCAGACTCTGTACAGCGTCTTGCAGCAGCTTTGGATGCAGCCGCGATGGCCGGAATGCCGGATGAGGTGACCGGTCTCACTGTGGTGGTTTCACAGTGTGAAGACGTGAAGCTGTTCAGCTGCGGTCTTGTCCGGCCCAAGTTTCCCTCTAAGTATAGTAATAGGAACCAAATCATTAGTGCGAGCGTGAGCTATCATGCGTCCTACCTAGAAGCTTACTTAAGCTACTCTTCTAGCGGCCTACACCCTCCCGGGCTTAAAACAAGAACTTAAAACAAGGCACCCTTTCCGTTCCTTTCTCACTAGACATCGTCTCGTGCATTTCTGTGGCCGCGGGGCCTCACACACATGTCGGACCATTTTCTCGGAAGAAAAGGTATCCAGGCGCAAGGTCGACAAGACAGGACAGGGTCGAAAAATGGCAGGTAGCAAAGGTCCCAACAACAATTTCATGGACTTAGCATTTGCTAGTCTCAGTCTCAGGGCCTTCCTGAAAGTTCCTTTCCTTTGCGATCCAAAGCCAATGTGGGTACGGTTCAAGCACCTGATTGGCCCAAACTGCATGTTTGAATGCCAACCATTCTTGCAGAATGTCTGGCCAGGATGAGGCCGTTGCCGATGCATGGTACCTGCTCCAGGACGTCAAGGTTTCAACTCTACTAGGTAAACACTACTAGCTTCTTGTTCCTACTAGTAAGGCACTTGTTACTACTAGCGTGGCACTTGTTACTACTAGCTTCTTGTTACTACTAAACAACTCACAACAACGCTGATGGTAAAGTTGGGAGTTGCCTGTGTCCAATGGTGGACTCTTATCAACTATTTAGGGATTTTTAGACTGCAATGGGTGGAACGGGGATACCTGAAATTCAAAGAAATGCATCTCCATGTTCGCCAACATTCCTGGCTTCAAGCTGGATGTCCAAAGCCTTTCTTGCGGTGGTAGGACCTCAAAGCTGCTGAGAGTCAGAAGATTCCAGAGGTGGCAATCTCTCGCATTTGACTTTATTGACACTCTAGCTCTACAACAGAAGGTTTCTTCAGTTGGCAGTGACAACTCTGGACAAGTAATGATAAGCATTGTGCTAGGGTGTTCATGAGCCCTTAAGACAAGGACCCCAAGACAAATGGATGTCAAGGACATATGCTGTATGCCGTCACAGAAAGCAATCGGCTATATAGCTACACTTCTGCATGAGCCAACAGTATGGTGCAGATACCCTGCTCGCAGTGTCACAGGTGGAAGGACTGAGAGAAGTTTTTGCCGAAGCACGCCTACCCCAAAGAGTGGATGAGGCTGCTCTTGGTCAACTCTTCGTTTGTGCCAAGCGATTATTACTTAAAGCACCAGCACAGTTGTTTTCAGTTTCCCTTCTTGATTTCCTTGAACTGGTTTGCCAAATGGGATCGGGCCCGTGGACACGACTGCAGGTTCTTGGAAAAGAGCAGTCGTGGGGAAATACAGGGATTCAACTTTGAAATGAGTTCTTTTTACACATCCTGGCCTTGCACAATGCCCAATCATGTTTGTGTATATCAATTCAGCCAGATGGTGGACACAGCTAGGCACATGCCATTTGCAATTTCTTCATACGAGTGTGTTTCATGGATAGTTGTTGGATGTTTTCTGCAACCATTTGTAAGGTTGTGTCCTTCCCTATTATTGTATGCGCTCGTCCAAAGTTTTTGAAAAGGTAACACTGACACACTGTTTGCTTTGTGATGGCGGTGGCAAGTGAGCTCAGACATGTTTCGCCAAACTGTTTGCTGCTGCTGCTGCTGCTGCTGCTGCTGCTGCGCAGTGCTGGTTTGCTGACTATCCATCATCCGTGTTATTTCCTTTGCAACATGAACATTCTTTGACGTGCTTGATCGCTTATGATGCTGCTTTGATGGGTTTCACTGCTGTTTATGTATTCTCGCCCAAACCTAGCTATTGGGATTCTTGCGTGGAAATGGCCCGGTCTCAAGATGATGTTGCCCTTGCCTCCCATTGCCTCCTGACAGACCTCCCGACTTGTCTCCCTACTTGTCTCACTTGGTCTCGCCTATGCAGTAGGTGGTGAATAGTTGTTTGCAATCGATCCAGTGTAATTTGGGATGCAACCCATGCTGAAAGACCTTGAGCAACGTCGTTCCAATGTCCACTCTGATGCCTACATGCAATGCTCTGAGTGATCTTTCTGTTTGCCAGACTTTTCCAAGCGCACCTCCCGTGCTTTAGGCTATGACATGGTGCCAAAGCCAGAGGCATCGCAGCTAGGTTGTCCGAGTAGTTTGGTCGTGACTTCGTGTGTTTGGTTCTTGGATCGAGTTTTTGGCTTTGGTCAAAAGAGAATGAGCCTGAACAGATTTGTCTTGCCCAAGGGTGTGTCAACAGTATCTCTTGTTCTGGTTTCACCAGGTGCAGAGTGTGAAGTATCAAATCTGAAGGACTTTGTGGGCTCTAAAAAACTTGGTAGGCAGCTGGCCTGTATGGGAAACGCATGACAATGCCATCTTCGAGTTGCCACAGAGCTGAACCGATGAACTTGGAATGGCTTGGAACTTCGCAACAGTTTGTTCCAACCATGAATGATTCATACTATCAAGCCATAAACACAGACATAGTAGACTCATGTAGACTCCAAGTGTCACTCTAACCGCTCCGACTGCACAGGCTGCTGAGCACTTCTGAAGTGGTCTCTGCAGCCCAGGTGGGCATGTTTAGTATGGGCGACCAAGCCTTAGGAAATACAATAGGTCAATAGAGGTATATACTGTAATCTACTGTAGCTTTCACCAGCTTTTACGATTTTATGGGCTGCAAAAGACCCCTTCATGATTTTCCCCTGTCAGCTGAAGCGAAACTTGATCGAATTTGTGCCTTCTGAGGCGTTGGGAGATCATTTGAATCTCCGGCCTTTGGAGCGAAAGCGCCTAAACAAGGCGTGAGTGAATCTGACTTGCCCTTGAGGTCGTGAGGTGAGTTGACAAGCTTCAAATTCCTTTCCAAAGCTACTTGCAGCATGCAAGCAATGTATGTCACTAGGGAGGACTCAGCAGATATTTGTATTACACAGAGATTTCCAGGAGGGTAGCAGGGTGGGCTTGCTATTTCTTCAGGCGTTGGAAGCTTTGGGATCTTTCGGAGAGGACCGTGGGCTGTGTGTGGGGCAATAGATAACTGATGGAAAACAGACTTGAAAGAGAACCTCCCCTGTTATGAATCAGATTTGCGAACCTTGCCTGGATCCTTTGTGACTTTGTTTTGAAGCTGATTTAAGCAGCAACTCCACCACAGTGTACCGGTGAATTCCCCCCCAGCTATTTATTTTACTATATTTTTATATATGTGTAGCGCTTGCTTCTCAAGTGACTCAAAGTAAGTGCACCTTTTTCAGTGGCAACGGAGCTGCCTTTCACAAGGTTTGAAGCCCATTTGACAAAGCTTGAAAGGAAACAAGGGGCGTTCCTGCGTGCCCCAACTAAGAATTGATTGTGCAGTTGTCCACTTGCGAGGGGATCCCTTTTTTGGGGGGAGATGACTTGGGATTAGTTCGAGGTTGAAGGCTTCACAGCATGGTTGGGTGGGCGAGAGGGAAACGCCGCTGGACCGGTTCATCACTATGAATTGCTGTGAGCCGCGCCACCAGCGGCACCCTCCAGGCCCTCCAAGATGCCCAAGAAGTTTTACCGACTCTACAGGCTTTGAAAGCTTTGCAGGCGAAGGGCAAACCGGCAAGTTGAAGCACGGTATGCAATGGCTCTGCATAAAGACTTATTGGCATGTGCCTGATTCATCCTTAGAATTCTTCATGTCGTCTCTATGTCGTCTCTATCGGCTCTGTAAGCGAAGCGGTCGCAGGTCCTGGTGGCCGAGCCAAAGGTGCAGGTGCGAACGAGTTGGTGAGCAAGTGCGGGTGTCACTGACTGGGGCTATGTGTCAAGTAGAGTCATCCGAATCATCATCCCCAACTTAGCCATTAGCAAGTCTGTAGGTCTTCCAACACAGCCTCCAGCCTCCCCAACGGTAAATGAAGTGCGTTCTTTGATGAGTTTCACCTTGTCCATTCTAGGGCCGATTTCGCTAGCACAACACAACACCGATGACCCCTTGGTTTGTGGTCCATCATGTCCGCCATTGGTAATGTTAGGCCAAAGAGCTCGAGCAAGCCATAGAAAAAGCCAAAGAGGCCAAAGTAGATGAAGAGGAGCAAAACTCTGTGGAGTTTGGCGGGTTGGTGACCATTGCATTGGCTTTCCGCTTTGTTCTACCGAAGGATTTAGCCAATGCCAAGCAGAAGCTGGAGGACGGTTCGATCCTGGCTTTGGCAAAGACTCCTCAGCCGGAGCAGTTTAAATGACAGTAATTATATAGTTTGGATTGAAATCTGTGCAGAGTCAAGCTCAGAAAGACACATCCGGGGGCCAAGTGTATGAACCTTCCTGCAGGAGCTGCACCAAGTGGCAAGCGCCCAGCAAGCCTTGGAAGATGCCATGCGGGACGGAGATATCGAGGCCGACTGATAGTGTCAGATTGTGGAAGAACCGCTGATTTGGTCAGTATTCCTCAATCTTTGAGAGATGGATTTGTGAT